GTTCGAAATGTTGATAGGGCTAAGATCTGGTGGTCTTCCCTCGGCGACAAAAAGCAAAAAATGGATTGATAAAGTGGATCTATCAGTCGCGCTACGGGATGTGTTGATAAACGAAGGGATAGAAAATAATGGCGTAAAACCGAACAAGTTTCACAATCTCTTCACTCTCGGCGTTCATACGTTTAGTAAGTTTAATAATCATATTTTTTTTTCGGTACATTCTTAATAATAATATATCCCAACCTATTTGATTTTAGATTATAATTATAACGTATACGGATTAGATTGGAAAGCAAGAGGCGTTTGGCGTTTAGGTCTACTTCAGAAGCTCAAGTTACCTTCATCAATTGATAATTTGCTAGTTATAGAGAAACTGATCATATCTTTGATGCGCGTTGAGGTTAGAAATCTGACTCGGTGGTTGTATTTTATTGTTTTGTGAAATTCACACACTCCTTTTTTGATAGGAAACTTTGCATCGTATACGGAAAATTCGTCACGAAATATTAATCGATAAAGCAAGATTATATCGAACCCGACGATCATCATCATGTCCAATGAGTTATTCCATTTGTGAACACGGTCGCATAACTCGTACAAGAAGGGCAAAAGAGTAATTTTAATCTACCATGTAATAATGCTGTTAGCTTTAAGACTAATGGATTTTAGAAATTTATATAAAGATTTAACGCGCACGTGCTGTAGCAAAATAAATGTGAATATTGTACCATATAACATATAATGTATATTCCGCCATCGGAAAAATGAATATATGATGCATGATTGCAAATTTTTGGCGATGAGCCGTCGTCGGAATTTTACTCTGATTTTTATTACGTTATACGCAGGAAAAAATATGTATGTAATGATCACGAATGAATCGATAAAGCATTTAAAGTTTCGAGTTTACTCAATGAGACCCAATTCTCGAAGATGCTCAGGAATAACTACATATGGTCTTCGTAATACCAAACATACCTAAGGGCAATACAGTTTTCTTCGCATAATTCTTTCTTGAGTTGATCCCGTGCTTGCTGTTTGATAAAATTATTGGGATCGCCATTATGGAAGAATTTTATATATCTTTCGTGTTGTTCTCCTTGTACTTCGGTTGCAAATCCATATTGTGGGTAATAAATGTCAAGTTCTAATCCAGTTGGGTGATCTCAAGTTTTAAGAAAATCAGGTCGACGTATCTTAGATGGCGGTCCAAGATATTTTGACATAATTTCTCGACACAGTCTTTCACGTTTATATTTAGAGCAATATGGACACCATGTATTATAATTTTTTACACGAGAAAGAGTAGCATACCATTGATGGTTTTTATTACATCTCCAGAGTAACTGGCTTCCACCTTGGCTATATGCAATAGATTTGGCCATCGAAATATCAAATTTTGTACTAGCACAATGCAAACACCAATAGTTTTTGTTTTTAATACCACTGATGGAAGCAAGCCATTCATGTGATTTGGAACATCTCCAGCGTAAATGTGTTTTATAATTGATATAAACATCAGATAAACACTCTCCATTCCTGCTATGTGCTAATTCTTTTGCATATTTGATGCCAAGTTTCTCAGAGTCACGTACACAATGTGGGCATCATGTCCCTCTTTGAATACTATCAATCTGAGCAACCCATGGATATCCCTCAGAACATCTACAAGAAAGTAGAGTACGCCTGTTATGATAAGAACTAGAAATACACCTTCTATCTCTTTTATTTGCGAGATTTTGAGCGAATTCAAGTCCAAGTTTCATGCACTCATGACACCAACTTCCTTTATTTTAACATCTGAAAGAGATAGGCGAAATTGATGATTATTTTTACATTTTCATATGAGAAGTGAGCTATTGTTAACATAATTCTCAGAAATACACTTTCAATTTTTAGTACATGCTAATTCTTTGGCCACTGAAATATTGAGTTTTTTATTTATGCAATGAGGACACCATGAATGGCGATTTTTGATAGATCAAAATGAACAATTCCATTGATGGTTTTTATTACATTCCCAAAGTATTGAAATTTCACAATTGATATATTCTTTGGAAAGGTATTTTCTTTCACGAGATTCTGCTATCTTTATTACATCATCCAAAGAAAATTTTTTGATATTGCGATTAACAAAAATATATTTCTTGAATAATTATCCTACTTTTCAAAATACTATAGAGTATTATAAATTATGCAAATTAAATGAAACAATACTTTCAAAAAAACAGAATCCATTCGCTCCTAAACATCCATTTAAACTACTAGTTACAGGCACCTCTAAGTCTGGAAAGACGAGCATGGTAATACATCTACTTCTAAAAAATAAATATCCAAAAATATATCTATGGATATCTGGTAAAAAACGTAATTATAAAATATCAAAAGGCAGAAGCAAAAATTTTGGTAAAAGGTATATTCTGTGTGATGATCTAATTGTTATTGCACAATACCATGATGAAGAGTTATGAGAAGCAGTACAATATTTTTATGAATTTATAGCCATGAATAAGTAAGCTTCATGGTATGAAAATGTGAGATTCAAGCTGATCGCATTTGAAGAATTACCTAATATTTATCTTTTAAAAGAACTAACCAGTTTACTATTATAATCTTTGATGATTTTGCCAGTGAACCTCTAGCAACTTAGCTAAAAATTATACCTTTCTTTAGGTCAGGTAGACACCTTTGATTTTTTTATTTGAAAATGATGTTATTTTAAGATGAGTTAGTTTAAAGCTATAAACTGATTTTCTTCCTCCTTTAGGTACTATTTTTAAAAATCTTTTCAATCAAAATTTACCATCTATTTTATTTCCTTTTAGCTTAATACACTTCCATAGAATAGAGGTATTACATCTATATCAAAGCTGGCAAATATATAGAGTAGGATAGAGTGACTTATCTACTGCTAAAAAATGTAAAATATGTTCTAATAATTTGTGTATATTAAAAATACTTGTATACGTTATAAATAATATATGCTGTATCTTTAAATAAAAAAAATAATATTAATAATGAGCATCTGACTTCAGATATTCACTTAGTTCTGATAATTAAAAATACCTACAACCCTGTCTTATTTTTATATTTTTGATAGTGATAAAGCCAATTGCCCTATTATATGTGTAATCATATTTGGCTGGATTACATAGTGGCAAATATTATGTAGAGTTAGTAGTAAACTTACTTGTGATCTTACGCCTGTTATTTTTTGATTTTTAGCTATTACTAGCTAGTTTATCTAATTCAATTAATCTCTCAAAATAAACCTTTGGAAAGGAATAATCACAACCCAAACACTTCATATGATCAAAAACACAATACATATTTGTTAGCTCTGTTACCTTTTCACTTGGTATTGGAGATTACTATTATTTTTATAGATTCACTTTAAAAGTATCCCGAATATTTTATCATAATTTATTTTTGCTTCTGCTATCTGATTAATGATACTATCTGGCAGATGATTAAAATGCTTACTTGCCATTTAAATAGTGATAATATAGCTAAAAAACTCATATATTTTAAAATAGAAAATGGTTATATGTAAGCTAAATGACTTATTGCCTCAGATTATACTAGATCAATTTTACTATGGATCTTATTTTTATGATGCTCTCAAGCAAATAATAAATTCAGTAGTTATACATATTAATAATTTCTTATATTTCATTATTTTCTGCAGACTCTGATTCTGGCTTTAGGTTACAGTCATCTTCAGGGCTAGAGTTCTCTGATTCTGTATTGCTTATAGCATAATTATTACCTGCATCAAGGCAGTCTGATTCTTGCCTTAATGTAATTCTCATAAAATATTTAAGATTTTCAGAAGTTGATTTTTTACCACTGTAGACTTTGGAAGCGTATTGAGTTTCATATTCTCTTAAATTCTTTAGGATAGACTTATAAGGCTTTTGCTTAAGAATTCATTAAATGGCTAAGTATTACATGTTTCACTTTCAGTATAGACAGGATTTCGCAACTTTCTTGCCTTGATTGTCTCTTGAATCCAGGTGAGCAATTTTCTTGCATGTTCTGGATTTTTCTTAATGGAAAGAAATGGTCAGAGGTCAGGATTCTCCTTCTTTTCTTCTCTACTCTTTAAATAGCCTATGTAATACTAAGAATAACTATTTTTATAACATGTCAGAAGATTAGATGGGTCAACTTCATAGTGATTGATCTGAAGAGATCTCACTTCTGCAGGTCTTATACTCAACATTACAATCATATTCACAAGATCTTCTTTAGTTAAGACTTTAGAAACATCTATATTTTGAATTTTTTTAAGTATTCTCACTGATGATAAGTGTTTTGAAATTTGAATTTTATTTGAATTAGCCAATTACTTTTTAGTTCGTTCTTTTTAAATTTTATTAAAATCTTGAATAAGTTTCTTATCTTTGACAAATTCTTTAATAATTATAAGATCTATAGCACCTTTTGCTAATTTCACATGAAATGTTAATTGATGTGAAATACTAACAATGATTTCCTTTTCATCTTTATTTTTTAGACCCATTACTTAATGATTAGTGATAATGTCTACAAAATAGTCAGTCTTAGCATAATATTCTATTCTTCCTTCTTTGATGAAGTTTTTCTTTCTTTCATCCATCATGAAAGCATCTATCTTTTCTTACTAAATAAATATTTATTATTAGTACCATTAGTAAGAGTAACTTTAACTACCTGCGGGCTATCCAATCAGAAAGCAAAGTATCAAGTTTAGGAGCATGTTTACTTAATTATTCTAGGTAGAATCAGCT